CACACACACACACACACACACACACACACACACACACACACACACACACACACCGCACACCTGCCTTATCCCTCTGACGGCCCCTCCCTGGTCTATCTGGTTCGGCACATCCAGGACCAGCAAGGCCGCTTTCCAGAGGGATCTGGCTCCGCGTGGTTTCTTCCTTCCTCTTTGTTCCCTGCGGTTGCTCTAAGCAAAATCAGGAACCTCCAGATCCACAAGCCTTTCACTCTGAGGACAGGACTCACTTGAGACTGCTTCCACCTTCCGTGTGGTGCCCACCCTCTGCCCGGTCAGGGTTGGCTCACCTAAGGCTTCCCACCTTAAAGCAAGATGGAGAAAACTCATTCGTTTGACTTCCCAAAATTCAGGAAAGAGATACATATTCGCCACCTGTGCTCCCTCTTTCTTGTCCCCGGACCATTCCAGGAGGCTCTGGCGTCCCCAACAGTCTCAGTTTCTGCCTCTCTGTGCCGTAGCTCTGGCATTTTGCCTGCCCTCACCAATGACCCTCAAACCCATTCCTCTGGCCAGCCTTGGCTTTATTCATTCTTTTACCAGTTCTGGGTCCTGGGGTACCCCCAGCCACCTCACACGGACCCCATCCTCTCAACCTTGGGAAGGAGGGGCCTTTCTTACTACCCTAGTGGCCATTCTTCAGCTCTGTGCCTACTCTGTATCCCACGCCCCTGTTATGGACCCCATGTTGAACAGCCAACTCATCAAGGCAGCAGAGCCTTGGCTCAAGTTCACATCGGAGCCTCTCCCTAGAATGAATGGACCGCCTACAATGAGGAGATAGCGCATGTGCTGGAGGAGATTGACACCACAATCAAGAAACTCCCAGAGTGGGCTGCAGATGAGCCCGTGGAAAAGACTCACCAGACCCAGCAGGATGAATCCTACATCCACTCGGAGCCCCTGGGCGTGGTCCTTGTCATAGGTGCTTGGAACTACCCCTTCAACCTCACCATCCAGCCCATGGTGGGTGCCATTGCCGCAGGTATGAGGGCTCCAGTCTGGAGGGACTGTCACAGGAGGTTGTGGTGACCAAACCATGTAGCTAGGCAGCCAGGGTGGCCTCTCCATATACCTGTAGGGTGGAGGTGGGGGTGGGGGGTGAGGGTAAGGACTCTCCGCTAATATGTGACAGGAGAGGCCAGAGCTGCTCTCTCCTCCAGGCTGGGTATCTCTGTGTGTGTCCTTTCTTCTCCCCCAGTCTCCTAGCACTGCTGGGGGGGGGGCAGGGGGTGCCACTCGGAAAGTGTGAGCCAGTGTGTGTACCTAGAGCAGATGCTCATGTGTGTACCCGTGTGTGCCCCTGCACTGTGTTCCTATGTGTGTACCCACGTTTCTCAGCATATGCCTGTGTGCACTCACCGCACGCACTCGTGCCTAGCCCCGCCCCCCTGCCTCCCAAAGGTACAGATGACGTAACGGAGTCTCTAGGCCTGGTCATTGGGTGGGACGAGCCTTTGAGGAGGCCTCCTGAGAGTGACCCTGACTTTGTATTTTGCAGGAAATGCAGTGGTCCTCAAGCCCTCAGAAGTGAGTGAGAACATGGCAGACACACTAGCCACAATGGTCCCTCAGTACCTGGATAAGGTGAGGCGCCCTCTAGAGTATGATGGAGGGTCAGGTCTTTAAGGCTTGGGAGACCGTGGGTTATTATAGCAGGTGGGAGGAGACCAGCTCCTAAGGACAGGGTAAAGGGAGCCCTTGAGCTAGGAGAATGACGTAACCTGCTACGGTACCCAGGTAAGTCCAGAGCTGAGGGGCTGGGGAGCTGTCCGTCCCCTAGTGCGCACGCTATGTGTGGAGTGAGGAAAGGCTTGGTTTTGCTGACCCTCCTCTGTCTCTTTGCTGGAAGGAGCTGTACCCAGTGGTCAACGGGGGTGTCCCTGAGACCACGGAGGTGCTTACCAAGAGGTTTGACCACATCATGTACACTGGGAGCACAGCTGTGGGGAAGATTGTTATGGCGGCCGCCGCCAAGCACCTGACCCCTGTCACCCTGGAGCTTGGAGGAAAGAGCCCTTGCTACGTGGACAAGGACTGTGACCTAGATGTGGCCTGCCGGTGAGGAGGCTTGGGCTTGGGCTCCTATCTACCTTTCAACACAAGATGGTTCCAACCTTGATGACTGTACCGAGTAAGAAGGATGGTCCCCGCCCCTAGGGAGCCTGTAGTTTTGGATGGGAGAAGTTGAAGGGGGGGACACCATTCATAGAAGTCTTCCTAGAGGGGGCCTCCCGAGAGGGCACTGATTCTGTGGGCATCACTAGGGGTGATGCTCCAAGTAGATGCTTCAAGGAAAGCAAGCGTGGGGTACTCAGGGTCTGGAGATCTTTACCGAGCCCCATTGCCCCTCTGCAGGAGATCCCATCTGAGATCTGGAGAGCACAGCCAGGAAAGCAGGGGCACTTACTCACAGCCCAGGATGGGACTCACATCCGTACTAGTTAGGCCTCTGGCCATTCCTGTACCCCATATATAAGGAAGGATGTATGTAGAGGTGTCGCCTAGCTATGCAAGGCTCTGAGAATGTGATCAAAGTCACAGAGCACCCACCCCAGATATCCTCAGAATTTCCTCACTGACACCCTCTGGCTGCAGGAACCACTGTGGTGTGTGTGTGTGTGTGTGTGTGTGTGCGCGCGCGCGCGCGCGCGCGAGCGCTGGGTGGGCTGATCAATGTGTCTGCAAGTTAACTGTTGCTTAGAAGAACCCACCGTGGCAGCACCCAGCCCATGGGCTGTCCTCCATCACTCCGCCTTCAGTACCTTGCCCCTGAGCATGTGGATATTCTCAAGGGAACTCCCATGATTAACAGACTGTATTTTCACAGGCGTATTGCCTGGGGGAAATTCATGAACAGTGGTCAGACCTGTGTGGCCCCAGACTACATCCTCTGCGACCCCTCCATTCAGAACCAAATCGTGGAGAAGCTAAAAAAGTCAGTGAAAGTGAGTATGACCTGAGATGGGAATAGGGAGCTGTAAGGCCTAGGGGCGGGTGTTTTGCCTCAATCAACTTCTAAGACTTTGAGAAATACTAGGTACTTTTCTACTCACGAAAGAAATAGTGTGCTCACACTGCAGACAATTGGGAAGGGTACAAAGTATAATTCGGGGGAAAAGCTCTACTCAGATTCCCACCACCCAAAGGCAATCACTTCCTAGAGGCTGGGAAGTCACGGCCACGACAGGGCCAAGTCCTCCTTGAGACCTCATCTCTTCTCAGGATTTCTATGGGGAAAATGTTAAGGAGTCCCGTGACTATGGGAGAATCATCAATGACCGTCACTTCCAGCGGGTCATAGGCCTGATTGAGGGCCAGAAAGTAGCCCATGGAGGTACCTGGGATGCAGCTTCACGATACATAGGTATGTGCTCTGCCGTTAAGAGTGCTGCCTGTTTGTCTGGACTGCCAGGGTCTACCGCAAGTGCATAGAAAGTGGGCACGGATACCCAGCAGGCAGGCTTTCCCACATGGGCGTGCAGAAAGCTTTGGGGCCCTCTGAAGAGACGTGCTCAATACCTGCCTTCCCTACAGCCCCAGAAACCTCTCCCACAAGGCAAAGGCAAGGGCTTTACTTCCATCTCCAATCTGTGCAAGGGGACAGTAATGGAGACAGCAGAGGCCCCAAGAGCTCAAGGCAGGCCAGGCTGGGAGGAGCTCCCCATGTCCTGGCTAGGGCAACATCAGTTGGAGCCTCTTTGGTCTCCAGTTATCAAGGAGGCAGGAGAGTTCTGGTATGGACACATGGGGCCAGCAGATGTAATGGCTGTCCCTTCAATGTTTAGATCTTGCTCCCCCATGCAGGCTAATCTGTAGATGTCTCCATGGTCTGTCATGACGGAGTCTAGGACATGGGGGTTGAGGGGAGGTGGGCATGAGAAGATCACTTCAGGTCTTGTCTTCACCCCCATGTAAGCTTGGCGGCTTCTTTTGCAAAAGAATGGAAGCAGGAACTAGATGTTGGCACTGGTGTGTGTTTGTGTGTGTGTGTGTGTGTGTGTGTGTGTGTGTGTGTGTGTGTGTGTGTGTGTCGGGGACTGGGGAGTGGATCAGCACAAACAGACTCTAGCTCACTTCCTGCCTCAGCTCCCACCATTCTCGTGGACGTGGACCCCCAGTCCCAGGTGATGCAGGAGGAGATCTTCGGGCCAGTGATGCCCATCGTGTGTGTTCGAAGCTTGGAGGAGGCCATTAAATTTATCAACCAGCGTGAGAAGCCCCTGGCGCTCTACGTGTTCTCCAACAACAACAAGGTGGGCCTAGGTGTCCCCTTCCCAGCTCCCTGGCCTCTCAGACATAGCACTCACATCCAAGGGGACCCAAGGATCCACAGGCCTGGGTTCAAGTTTGCAGTTTTCTCATTCATTAGACTGTGGCCTAGAGCAGGTCTCTCAACCTGTCTGAAGCCTCCTTGGCCTTATCTCTAAGATCAGGACAGTTCGCTCTTCCTGGAGCTGTGGAGGAGGTGGTCATTGCCACAGGGTTGTGGATCCCTGCTGTTTCCCCATACAGTGCTGAGGGTCATGTGGTATTTGCAGAGGGTTGGAGGTGCTGCAGGGCCTGAGGATGTCAGAGCTGGTGACTGGGGCTCTGCCCTCACAAGTCTCGATCAGAAAGGGTGGGGAGAATGCAGGAGTGCAAGGTGGCTGCCTGGGTTTCTACACAGGTGATCAAGAAAATGATTGCAGAGACATCAAGCGGTGGCGTGTCAGCCAATGATGTCATCGTCCACATCACGGTGCCCACTTTGCCCTTTGGGGGTGTGGGTAAGTCAGGTGCTGGGATCCTAGTCCTGATCACTCGTTACTCTGGCCTTTCACAGGGTCCTAAGCCTGGGGTCACACAGCCATTTAGTGGCATGGCTGGGATAAGACTCTTTCTGAGCACTCTTTCTGAGCACTCTTCTGCCTGGCCTAGGTGCCTAGGGGACACTCTATGGTTTGGCTATGGCTTCCTCCAACCCCCCATCCTGAGAGGCTCAGAAAAAGGAGTTCACGAGGGTTGTGAGTACAAGATGGGTTGGAATCCTGGCCCTGACCAGGCCTCTCATTTAGGGTACAGCGGCATGGGGTCCTACCATGGCAAGAAAAGCTTTGAGACCTTCTCCCACCGCCGCTCTTGCCTGCTGAGGTCTCTACTGAATGAAGAAACCCACAAGGGCAGATACCCCCCAAGCCCAGCCAAGGTGAGAGGCGAGGCCCTGGGGCATTGGAGAATGTGGACTGCACAGGGCAAGAGCAGGAACCTCGGGCCTCATGTCCTCTCCCTGTCCTCACAGATGCCCCGGCACTAAGAGGACCACTGCCCCTGACTCATTTGTGCTGGCTGTCCTGCCCTTGGAGAATTGCTCTTGGAGCCTCGTCCTGGCTTCTTGCCCACCTGCTGCCCTGTGCATGCGCTCACCTCCCAGATGGCTCACCTCACCCCTCCACATTCTGCTCTTTGCTGGACACAGAGATCAATAAAGCCTTCTGAAGGAAAGTCATGCGTGCAATACTTCTTTATACCTTGATATCAAGTCCTTCAAGGTTTGGTCACCCTGACAAGCCTATCAAGAAAGCTCTCTCCGCCAACATTAGCTCACGGGAGGTGGGAGGCCATGGTTTGGGGATGACATTTATCTTCCCCATATCATGTTTGGGATGTCAGCTCCATTCCTGGAGTCTGGATGAAAAGAAATAAAAGAGGCTGAGCTTTGATGACCAAGTGGCTCTGGAACCAGGTGGTGATACTCTTCTCAAATCAGATTTGATCTGAGAATTGATCTATGGAAGGGGTCTCTCTGTGAGACAGCACGGTGGTCAGTACCAACAACCCCCACTGTTACAGAACTAGGCTTGTCCCACCCACTCCCCAGTCCTCCAATCACTAAGAGTTTCACAAGAGGAAGTTCACTACGAGGTGGCTGAGCTCAGAGGTGGAGCCTAACACTCAAATTCACCTCTCTGGGGAGTGATTAAGGCATGAGAGATGACTGAAGGTCTATGCATATGTGATCAAGCTCCATGCCTCTTCTTGTGATGCATGCTCAGTGCATGGTAAGGCTAGCATGGTCTAAGGTGTAGTTTTTGGACCCCTGTTGTTAAAGATCACTCAGCAGACCCAAGTGTATGGTTTCAAGAAAAGCAGTTTCGAGACCCTGGAGGACAGCATAGGCAGCCTTTATTGTAATCCACACTGTAGAGGGGTCACCTACAGCAGCACACTAGACCAGGCCCATTTGCTTCCCAACACACTGATTAAAGACAAGTAGTGAAGAATGGCAAAGCAAGGAGGTTTAATTAGCATGGCCATGTTAGGAAGTGTGGACATTAGAGTGGTTTACAGGCTGTGGTCCACTAGTCCAACAATGGCTGCCTCCTCACAGAAAGGTCAAGAATCCAGTAGTTGTTGTTCAGTCCACAGACTGGACACCTCGCAGTCTCAATCTGCCGCAGAGTCCTAGAGAGGGGCTGGTTTCCCATCCCTGGGTCTGAGGCATTGGGACTTTGACATGGGCATGTCAACAGTACACACTCACTCAGGACTTCATCCACTCTTTACACACGGACTCAAGGCATTCTCTGCTCCTCACAACCTTTTGATGAGCATTTACATGGGACACAAATAAGTCCACAGCCTTTGCCCCTTTTGAGAGATCTATCCACGTACTTCTTCCCCAAATGTCTTTCTCCCTGATTTTCCAATCATGCTTTTTCCAAGACCCTGACCACCCAGCCAATTCATTGGCTTCAACCCATAAATCAGTGAACAATTGCACATCTGGCCATTTCTCCTTTCAAGTAAAATGTGTGAGCATGTGTACTGCCCAGCATTCTGCCCACTATGAAGATTTCTCTTCTCTGGCATCCTTCAAGGTTGTCTTAGAAAGAAGTTGGAATGCTGCTGCTGTCTACTTCTGTATGGTGCCTGCGTATCATGCAGAACCATCAGTGCCAGGCCCTAGTCTTCCCTTCTTCAGTCAACTGGTGATAAGACACATTCTATGAGGCTATAGATGCATCCTTAGCAGCAGATGGCATTGTAATGGGTGTAGAAACCATAGGCATTTGGGCAACTTCTTCATGTAACTTGTGTGCTTGAGCCCAATCAGGTATGATGGTAGATGCTTTCTCCAAAAGATCTCTTCTGTGAGTCAAGTGTAGGTAAACTTTCTCTGTCCTGCCAGTGGGCTCCCAAATAACCACATAGAGACTTATTATTAAGTATAAGTGCTTGACCAATAGCTTAGGATTGTTACTAATTAGCTCTTACAACTTAAATTAACCCATATTTATTAATCTATGTGTTGCCACATGGCTCATGGCTTATTACCCATTTTCTACACATCTTGCTTCCTCTGCATCTGGCTGGTAACTCAGCCCTCCATCATCCCAGCATTCTCTCAATCTGGCTTTCCTGCCTAACCTCTTCTTGCTTAGCTATTGGTCAGCTAGCCCTTTATTAAACCAACAATAGCAATGCGTATTCACAGTGTACAAAAAGATCAGTCCACAACAATCAAGTCCAATTTGTGCTGCTCATATATTCCTGGATGTGTGGCCTTCTACTGGACTAGAGGCAACACTGTTAAAGAAAACTGACTCACTCTCCCAGCACCTATCCATTGCCAATAATTCCTCAGCTATGGAATTCTCCATGCTGGGATTTGGTTTTTCTTGAGCTTGCATGGGGTCTTGTGCATGTTGTCATAGTCTCTGTGAGTTCCTATGTGCTGATGCCCTGCTCTGTCTGGAGGACACTGTTTCCTGTGGTCATCCACAGTCTGGGGCTCTTACACTCTTTTTTGTTTTGTTTTGTTTTTCAAGACAGGATTTCTCTATATAACAGTACTAGATGTCCTGGAACTGGCTTTGTAGACCAGGCTGATCTCAAACTCACAGAGATCCACCTGCTTCTGCCTCTCAAGTGCTGGGATTAAAGGCATGCACCACTAACGAGGACTATGGGGGTCCAGCCCCTCGATAGTCCCCTCCCAGGGTCCACGGAAGGCTCTATCAACCAGCAGAGAATCTTTAGGGTCGGTAAATCAGTCTACGCACTCAGAGTTCTTTGATCCATTCGCTTTAATTCCTCTGGCATAACATCCTTTATACACAGCTTCAGTTCTGTTCTCATGTCTAGCTCCTTTCTTGCCTGATTTCTCTCTATATTTATCTACTGTCCCCT